CCCACCTGGACACCTTCCTGTGTGATCTCATTTAGGTTCCTGCTCTGGCAGGGGGGTTGGACTGGATGATCTTTTGAGGTCCCTTCCAATCCCCAACATTCTGTGATTCTGAGACCCGCTGCAGACACACGAGCACCCTCGTACCCGAGAGCCACCACCTTGTCGTGGCAGCTGCTGAGCCCTCCCCTCCCTGCTCAGATTCACTCCAAACAAAACCATTCCAGGCAGGAATTTTTAGATCTTGGCGTGCAAGAGATAAAGGAATTGTGGTTCTACCCTGCCAGCTGCCTCGGCACAAAAGCCAGAGCCCAAAGGAGATCCAGCCCAGGCAGCAGAGCTCCTCTAGAGCCCTCTGCTCTGGTTGCTTCAGCAAAGAGACATGCCTAAGCCAGAGGCAAAAAAAAAAAATCAGATTGCTTCAAACCCTGCAGTCCTTGGGATGCTCCCAGGGCTCTGGCTGCTCCCAGCAAAGCTCAAAGGCCGCCCTAACTTCTGAATTTGGCAAGTGAAAAGTAAAAGACGAAGGATTACCCATGTCAGAACAATAATCCTTTCAACTGTGTGCACAATTATAGCTTTACTTCTGCCTGCTGGCCTCTCAACAAGATTGTCCTGCCTTTTTCTTTCTCCTCCTCCCTTCATGTCTCAGTAATGAGAGCCAAACCTTTCAGCTAATTAGCAAATGCCAAAGCTTCCCTTGAAAATCTACCATCAGCGAATTTAAGCTGCACATCAAAACCAGGAGGGAACTCCACCTCAAACAGAGCTCAGCTCTGCTCTCAACAAGGTGGATATTTCCACAGCAGAGAAAAAATATTGCAGCTAAAATATTTGCCTAAATAACCATATCCAAAAAAGCTGTTATGCCAAGTGCTTGAGACACTGAAAAGGGAAGGAGGAAAAAATAATAATAATAATAAAAAAATAAATAAAGGAGCCTTCAGATTTGTAAAGGTCACTTGTGCATGCTTGGAGCTTCCAGGAGGTAGCACAAGCAGCAGAAATCACAAGGGTTTTTCCTCCACAAGTCCCTGGGAGCTGAAGACGCTGCACGTCGCGCGTCCCGGCGTGGCGTGATGGCCCCGGGTAGATCCCGGCTGTCCTACCAGGATTCCTCACATAGTCAAAATGCAGGCAGCTCCTTAAGGCTGCTCCTCAAGAGAGACTTCACCCCCCGGTGTCTCAGTCCTCAGGGCTCCTTTGAAAACCCAAGATTCTCCCCAATTTTGCCGTAGCAAGTGAGCACACTCAGGATTTGAAGCTCCTACTGCAGGCGAAAGCAAATCTCCTGGACTGGGATCAACCCCAGGGCTGAGTGAGGTGACCACAAAGTGAATTGCAAAGATGTGGCAGGAGGAGTGAGTAGGAAAGGAGAGAAACAGCTCTGGAGCTTCCAGCAGGACAGTTTGGGGAGAAAAAAAGCAAATATATCCCCAAGCTGAGTGCTGTGAGATCACCTAACCCCAGAAAGTGGGACAGGGAAGGAAGAGTTGTTTTGGTGACCTATTTCTCTGCAAGTGGCAACCTCCTCTTTTACCAGAAACATGAATTATTCATGTTGAGCAGGAGGAATATGAACCCTCAGATATTTAAAACAAAATAATCAACAAGTCAGGAGATTAAAAGCCCCATTATTTGGGGAGAAAAGATGTTGTTTTTCTATCACTGCCATGCTCAGAGCTCAGTCCATTTTCAAACAGAACAGATACTTGTTTCCCTCTCAGACTTTGTTAAGCTCAGAGACACCAGTTTCCAAGGGCCCCGCTGCGGACCCAGCCAGGAGGGGCAGAAATAGTCAAGTCGAGACTCTCTGAAGCTCCTGCCCAACCCCAGTAACGAGGGAGGCACATCCCTGGCACGAATCCTTCCTCTGCTTTGGCACAGGCAACGCAACGCGCTCGGCGAGATCTCAGACAAGAACAGCTCCAGCTTCTCCCAGACACACAGTCCAGGGTTTAAAGCTGAGAAGCAAGAGCTGTTCCTTGCACAAGAGGGGAAATTTAAACTCAAGGATCCTCCTCATCCCTCTCCTGAGCTGAAAAACAAACAGGATTGTTACCTCGTCCAGCACCTCCGACACCACGGCCCTTCTGTTGCTTCTGCTGTTGCATCCCACCACGGCCTCTGCCCTTGGACACCACCTCTTCTTTCACCATGTCAATGATTTCGTCGGGGATACGCAGGTATTTAATGGTACTGCCACGAATGTAGCACTCTGGCATCCTCCAGAACTTATCTCCATCCTATGAAGGAGCAAAACATTAAAGCTACAAACCAAATGTGATGTTTTTTTCTCTGACTTTTGGGGTAGATGAATTATTTCCATCACTTCTGGGGAGTGTGACAGTGCTGCCAGACCTTTTTGTTTTGAAAGCTTTATCTGTCATTAGTCATAAAAAGGGTGTTTTTTCCCCCCCCTTCCAAAACACACAGCCCTACAACCCGAGTGGGGGAAGGACACTCAGCCACCAGCAAGTGGAGTTTCAATTTGTTCCCAAACCGCCTCTAAAATGAAGGAAGAAGAAGTTGAGGAAACAAAACACCTTCCCTTCTCCTACAAGAAGGGAATTGAAAGCAGGATTAGAGAGGCCAGGGTGGTAATTTACACACAATGGCTGCAAACAACCAACTCTGGCAAGAAGAAAAACCACCCTCAGCTGCAGGGAAGGCGTGTGCACGGCCGGGTTCTCCTCCAGCTGGGAGTCTCCTCACTCCTTCCCTCCTCTGGGGTGTGGATGGAGCAGTGAGGCAGGTCTGGAGCCAGCTGGCTGCAGGGAACGTGCCACCAGAACTGCAGCTGTGGAAAATAAGGAGCTTAGAGATTAAATATCTATTAAAAAAATATATAAATTAAAGTTTTCAGGTGCCTGGTTACGGAGCAGCCACCTCTCTGTGTTGTTTGTTGGTTGTTTAAAGAAGTTTCAGGGCTTTGCTAAGACACAACCAACCCCTCAGGGTTTCTTCTTCCATGTAGCAAAGGCAGCTGTGGGAATAAGAACTGAGGGGTGAAGCTCAACAACAACAACTCAGCTGCCCATGATGTAACTGGGAGGAGGGACAAGGACCCAACCTCACCCCTGTTCCACCACCACCACCAGGGCAGCAGCTCTGTTCAGGGTTTGGCTGCAGATGGGGATCACTCCAGCCCAGTGATTCTCAAGTGGCTGCATGTGGATGAGGCATCTGCAACATCCCAGGAGAGTGGGTTAAACAAGAACACCTCGTTCCTCCTCTCCTGGGATCAAACAGCTGGTTCCCTTCCACACACCCCCCACCCCCAGGAGTTATTTGGGGTAATTCTGCCTGTCTGGGCAAGTCCTTCGCTCCCAGGACAAGACAGAAACAGCCCTTTTCCAAAAAAAAACCCACCCTCAAACCGCACCCCGCCTTGGCTCTGCCCCCTCCCTGGCTCGGGATGCGGGGAGGGATGGAGCCACGTTCCCTGACTTCCTCGTTCCGGCCTCCCCCGAGTAAACAACCGCCCCTCCCGGGACCGGGGCTGCCCGTCCGCCGCCGCTTCTTGCCATCTAGCGGCCAGTCGCCACCAGTACCACCAGTACAAGCCCAGCAGCACCTCCCACTCTGCTTTCAGTGGGATCTTTGGAGGCGTTTTGGCATCTAGAGGAAAAACTGGTGAGTCGGGCTGCTCTGCTGCGGGACAGGATCCCTCTAGATCGCTCAGAGGGAATCAAACCCCAGCTACGGCTCTTCCCCACTGGAGCACGGAGCTGTAGGGAGAGAATTCCCGAGGGAAAGGACAATATCACCCGTGTCAGAGGAGGTTTTGCTGTTACCTCCTCTGAACCCCCCCTCATGATGAATCTGACAGCAATTCCTCCCTCTTTGTCCCACCAGAAACCAAAGTTTCTGGTGTAGAATTTGTCCCACAGATTTCTAACTCCCGCTGCTCCACCCCAAAAATGCTCTCACACCCCACTCGTGACATTTCCTCTGTCACAATGATGTAAAAAATGTCCCTCTACACCCCAAAAATATCACTCAAAACTTCCCTGTTGTGGAGACAACAGGTACTGGGGGTTTGTAAAGAGATTTTTAAGAAAAATAAGGATTTCTGCCCATTTCTGATGTTCTGAGCA